AATAATAAATCTGAACAAATTATAGTATTTGAAACATTTTTGGCTTATAAACTAAAATTTTAATTTTTTGGAGTTTCTTTCCTTTCTATTGCAAAGGCCCTATATAATCTTACACTAATGCTTTAAACTAATAATAATATTTTCTTTATTATATACTTTATATGATTTGTTAATACTGAATTTTTTTATTTTTAGATAAATATAGTAGAACTTGTGAAATCTGTAGAAAAGGATTTTCTTTTGTAAAATTATATTTATGATGATCAAAAAAGATACATTTTAGTAAGATTACGACAAATATATTAGAAAATTTTACTAATATTTTGGTCAAATAGCTATGAAATAATATTATTTATTTTATTTATAATTTTTTTTGATGATTTAATAATATATTGATTTAATGATCAAGAGAATTATTTTGCGAATTTGTGAATATAATTTTCAGATAAGTAATTTTTTATTAACGATTTATTTTTTATTTAAAATTTTAATTTACCACAAAAAAAATTTGTATTATATTTGTTCTTTGAATTTTTAGGTTTATTGAATTCTTGGATTTATTAGGTTTTTAAAGAATTCTTATAATTTTTTTGATTCTTAGATTTTGTTTTTATTTCTTTGTTTTTTCTTTTTTCAGGTTTTTTAATTTTTTTTTTAGTTTTAACTTTTTAAAATTTGATAGTTTTAAAATAAATTAATAAATTTTTTTTGTTAAAAAAAAATATTTAAACATTTTATCGTAAACTTACATTAAATTTATCTGAGAAAAATTCTTTAATAAGAAATCTGTTTACTAATACCTTTTATTGTAAACTATATATTTTTTATTATACAGTATATTATAAAATAAATTTTAATATTAGAAAGATAATATTCATTTATTTTAAAGGATATAATTAATAAATGTAATATAATAAAAAATATATGACTTATCAGAAGAACTGTTTTAAATGTAAAAGATGCCTTTTAAGAGTTGTTTTTAAAAGTGTAAAAAAAGACATAATATTTATATATTTTTATATATTTATACGATATAATTAAGTCTGTGAAGTATATTTAATTAATATTTAATTCCCTATTTTATCTTCAAGTTATATGACATCACTACATTATCAGTAAAGTATTTTAACTCTTCTTCAGAAATTGTATTCTGATTTGAAAATTCATTCAAATCAAATGTCTGATAATCAGAAAGCTTATTAAATTTCTAATGTAAAATATTTCTAAATATCTCAATGATTTTCCATTCATTATAAGATTTTATACCTATCATAATTTTGAGAAGTTTAAATCAGAATATCTACATTATTTTCATGCTAAATCAAGATAAGAAAATAATCATACTTTTGATCTAAACTTTAAAATCAGAAAGGTTACATAAATTATTGCTTATTTTAGTCTTATTTACAAGAATGTTAAAATGAAACTCATTTTTGATATTACTATTTTCAGAAATTTAAAATAGAAGTCTCATGCTTCTGTAACTTTGAATTTTAGTAACTTAATGAACTTTTCTAACATTTTCGTATAATTTATTCTAGGATTCGTTAATATTTGATGTTTTGCATTTTATTTTATTATTTCTAGATTTACAAATCATTATAACTATGATAAATAAAATGAATACTAGATATTATAGGAAAAATAAATATATGAAAAAAGTTTTATACTTACTACTCGATATAAAAAAATGAATATCAAACAATAAGCAGTGATAAAGCTATTATATTTAAAATTGCAAATGTAATATCTAACAAAAGAGGTTAAATTCATTTTTTATCAGTGAAAAATTTAATATCTTCTGATTCTATATCCTTAAAAACCTTCATTTGTTTTATTATTTATATTAATGGTTATTTTGGTTTTTCATTGCAGTATTCATTTGATATTACCGTAAATGCGAGGTATTATGCCATTCGTCGTTAGGTGATTTCTGACATTTTTCAAATGAGTGTGACCAATTCCCAACATATTGAGGTATATTTTCTGATAAAGTGGCGTATTGCGATCTCAATAATAAAAAGTTCTTTTATTTGTATGCGTTTTCTTATTAAGATGTCAGCTGGCAGCTATTTCTCTGCCATTTATTGCTTTCAGTTAGGTTATTACAAATATATCTTACTCAGGTCTAGAGAGAGCTTGAAATGCTTCATGTAATTTAGCAAATTTTTCTCTTAGAATTATTTTTGAGCAACCACATTTGCAACCTATTTTCAAGAAACACATTGCTTTTTCATATTTGATGAAACTGTTATAAATAGAATTTTTTATATACAGGTAATTCTATATAATAATTTTAACAGTAAATCTATTAAATCTGTTTAACTGGTTAAATTTCTGATCAAAAATAGAAAGCTTATTATTTATTCTTTTGGAATAAAATTAGAAACAGTAATAACAGTAAATCAAGTTTCATGATTATAGACAAAATTTGCTAGAACATATTATCCTTTATTGCTAAACGTGTAGTATTTACATGTGATTGATGCAAGTTCTATTTATTTGCATTAGTATGCAGATTTATAAGACGAAATTTGAGTAAGTAAAATTTACTTCTAAAGTAATGATAACAGGGATTCTATTGACTGTGAGGTCAGTTAGAACTGCTTCTCACCAAACCTGTTGTTTAATTCAATATTGTATACCACGTTTAGACTCAAGCTTATGATTAGGGCTTCCTTGCGATGTTTCTAGAAGGTATTTTCTCAGTCGAGAACACCAAGTTTCTGCAGTCTTTAGGAATAAACTATGCTAATATTCATAGTCTGGTGTTACCATGATGTCAAGATCATAGACATAATCAAAAAAGTCTCGAAATAGTTGTGGAAACTCATCAAACAGATAAGTGAGCTTTCTTTCTTTCTGATAAATAGCCTAATACAGATTCTCGGCAATGCGCTAATATGCCTTGTTCTAATTGTACATAAATATGATTGTATAAGAAAGTGCCTCTAAGTCATCTCCAGCTCCAAGTTATTTGCCTCTATTATACGAAACGAATATGATATTGCCTTCAGGCCAACCACTAGGGATACTTTTTCTCTTATTGGATTGTAGAACAGCTAAGCCAAAATCGATTAACCGATATTTACCATTAACATTTACGATGTTTCTGGAATGAATATTGCTATAAATAACTGTACTCATGAAGGACCTTCAGAATGTCAGCGATGATGTTGCAGGCAATTGGCACATCAACCTTGTTGATTTTCCTACCAACCATGCTAGTAATAATATATGGATGTAATAAACAAAGGTCCTCATATAGCAACTTCGGAATGTCCTTGACTTCTTTGAATATTTTCAACACTTGTGATTCATGTTTCAGAACATTTAAAGTAAACCTGAATTTGATGGCGACTCGTTCATTACATGCTGTGCATGCTTTAAATATAACACTATCTGACTCAAGGCCTAACAACTGAGTCGCCTTTATATCGCCATCCACCGTTTCCACGAATGGAAGTCCGCAATCTATAAGCAATTTATAATAGACTTCAGTTCTGAGATGCATATTACATAAAACCTTAAATGGATTGGATGAAGCCGTTGAGATATCATTTGAAATGTTTTTAGTTGGATCCATATTCCCAAAATTTCAGGGAGAAGCACTAGCACGTAGATTGATTGTAATGAAGGTTTTAAAAATGCGCGCTAAGATAGTTAGAGTGTCCTGACTCCAGTCATAGTCAGCAGTCACTTTCACATTCACTTATCCTTGTTCACCATTCCAGAAGGCATACCACAATCTGTATTGCCTTGAGTCAGTTATGATAGAGATATATTTGCGAGTTAGATTATTCTCATCGCCATTGAAGAAATTTGTGGAATAATGATAACATTGAGCAATCACTTTTTTTATACAAGAATTTTCCCAGCCCGATTTATCCTTGAATGCCCAGCTTGTTGTAAAGTCAGGTTGGGCACGTCTGCAGTATTGTGCAAATTGTTGATACGTAAGATAATGGTCAGCAAACCTACTATTTTCTTGGCCACCAGACTGAGTTTTGTGTATAACCATTAGGTCATAGAGCTGCACCAGGGACTCGTATACCCTTTGAACCTATAGTTAGATATCTCTAACCTCATCTATCCAATCAGGATTTGGAGGGTCATGATCTTGGAAGTTGTTAAAAATGTTATCGATAGTTGTTGCTTCTTCGGCATCTAAAGTTTCCAAGAATGAGAGGTCATTCTCTATATCTTCATAACAAGGGTTATGCATTATGGCAGAAGCAAGTGCGCTTATCGATCTATGGGTATAGTGATTCTCAAATGTTAGAGAGGAAGAAAAAAATCAGAAAGTAAATACTCAACAAACTTTCTTGAAAACAGAAATATTTATAATAAAGAAAACTATATTGTTATCCAAGTATACACTACTCTATGTCCTCAATGCTGAGTCATGAAGTCGTTACCTGTTTGAGGAGTTGCAGTGAGTCTCTCCTGCAGCATTGCTACCTGGTTGCTCTACTTCTGCTTCTCAGCCTCCAGATTCTCTTCCTTCTTCTCCAGTCTAGCCTTCTCCAGCCTGTCTTTTTCGTTTAGGCTCTTTTTATTCCTTTTCAACTTCTTTAACAACAGCTCATCGTAAAACCCCTCCTCAAACTTCTCCAACGCAGCTTCTGCCTTTTCCAACTACTTTTCAGCCTTCGCTAACTCTTGTTCAATTCTTGCAACGTTCACCATTTCTTTTTTTTCTTTAGTTAGAAAGAGAATATGCTGCTGTGCTATATAATAAATATAATATACTAACGCTGATCAATGGCTTAATCAATGACGTACTATTAGAAACTTTCTAGACCTTTTCATGATGTAATTATTGTTCTACTGTATGTGAAATGTGACCAATGATACATAAAAGATAATGAAATTTAAACTTTGCATCAGAGTGATCAAAGAATAAGTTATATTTATCAAAAGCTTTGGGTCTGAGTATTTTCCTCCCATGCAATCACTCTGGTGTCTTTATTATTACTTATTTTCAAAAGCGATCACATTCTATAATTAAAGATAATAAAATTATGTTCACAAAAATCAAATTATTGTTACATTGTTACAATTGTGTCAAAGTGGCAAAATATGATTGAGCAGTCTTATCAATCTTTGTTAACAGGTCGGTCGATCAGTGAAGGCATTGGTGGGAAGCTTTTACATTAAATTTATTTCCCTTATATTTCTTCAAGTTTTTGCTTCTTTTTTAGTTTATCATAAGTTAAGGTTAAGGTTCGTTTATAGTTTATTATTTTTCGTTCTTCTTGATAAATTTCATAAGTGATTTTTTCTTGATCTAAATATTCCTTGAGAATTTTGGTGTCAAAGATTTTAAAAACGTAGGAAGCAATTTTTTCATCTTGAGCTTTTTTTAAAATACTTCTAATAGTGCTATAATTCTTAGATTCCATAGTCGATTTGATATAAATTAGTTTCATATTAATATTTTTATATAGACATAATCATATATTAGATTTAAAAATAAAAATTAGTTCATATGCTGTGCATGAGCCAAAGCTGTGCTAAACCAAAGCCTTCTCAAAATGTTAGTTAATTTTTCAGCTACATCAGCCATTTTAACTCACATATTCAAATATTTACTTTGTCTGATTTTGTTGCAGTCTGCCTCATATAAGAAAAAATATATAAATAATATTATAAGTTTTCTTAGTTAAAATTGTTACATCTTCACTAGAATACTTAATAATATAATTTGATAATATCATCTATATCAACTTTAAATGAATTATTTTTTTTATCATTCTGTAACTTCGATAATATTCAGTAGCGTATGATTTCTAGGCTAACTACTTTATATCATGTGCTTCGCAAATCAGCTAATAATTCATATCTATTTTCTTGAATATATATTAATATATATTTTTTTAAAGTTATGACTTTTGATTTACACTTATTGGTCTTAGTAGCTAATTTATATATTTCTTTTCTACATCTCATATTATTTTAAAAAATGTTTGCAAGTAATGTTGTTAGCTTTATGTAGATTGATTCCTTCTGCTTATCTAATATGCTGAAAAAGAAAGACCAATAAGTATTATTCCCTAAGTATTTTAATATTTTATTAGCATAAGTAATATCATATAAATTTTTTGCATAAGTACATGTTTTTTTCTATAGAATAGATATGATAGTCTCATCTTTTTTGAATTATTATGCAGATCTTTAATATACTTCTTAACCCATTTCTCAGCTGATTTCTGCACTAAGACATTTCTTATTTTTGATATTTCATCTTCATTTGCATCTTTTTTTTTCAAAAGTTTTCAACAAAGATTCAGATAATAACTGGTATTTATTATCATAATTTATAAAATGTATACAAAGAATGATAATGTTTTATAGATAGTAGTTAATATCAATTTTTTTACCTAATCATCTTACTACTTCTAAATACTCCATTTTATCTCTCCTTTTTGCAATGAGTTATTGTCTAGTTCAACTATAATATATTTAAGACATTCATCTGATTCTAAGATTTGATAAAGATAAGGATCAGAAGTTAAATCCTTTTTTATGAGCCATTAGACTTCAGCTTTTTCATGAGTATGTTTATCTCATATTCGTAAAATGAAGTGTTGAACAGATTTATTATTTTTATCAGGCTTTTACGCATTAGTTTTAACTAATTCATTAAGGTCTATCTGAGAAAGATTGTTTACGATTTTCTTAAGCACTTCTTTCACAATCTGATATAAGGTATGTATATTATCTACCCTCATAGATCCTTTCATAATATATTTTCCTATTTTATAAAAAAGGTTAGACTTTTCCTATTTTATGATTTCAACTTCTGAATAAAAGATTTTTTATTAAAGTTCAGCTTGCTTTCATGTGGAATACTGTAGTATTTTTTTTTTCCAGTAAATACTACTGGAAATAAGACTTCCTCATATACCATTTTAAGATAAGACAATATATTATCTTTTTTAAAAAAATTATTAACTTTATTGCAGAATTTTTTTATTACTTCTATAGAAATATTTATCATTCTAGATCAATATTCTTCTTTTGAGATCCTATTTTTACTCTCATATACCTCATTTCATTTTTAGAAGTATTTTTCTGGAGAGATAAGATATAAGTAATCTGTATTCTTATATTTTATCTGAAAATCCTTAGTTTTAACGAAATTTGTGACAAGTTTGATATTTCTTTATCCAGCTAATATAATTTCTATAGCAAGTTCATGCAAGAAGAAAAGGAATGTACTATCTCCAGCAATGCTATAAAATGTATTCATATATACCTTAAGGCATTTTATTTTGCATCTAAGCAAGAATAGTTAAAATAAACTGAATTGTATTTTATCATAAATTTATGCTTTTCTTTATTAATAAAATAGTATAAATTTTCACTAAGGTTAGCATGCTTTTTATCTTTTAAAGAAGTAAGACATTTTTTTATCTCAACCTATTTACTATATAAATATTTTAACACATTGGCATAAAGACCTTCTTCTTTAGAAATATTATTATATTGGATAAACTATGCGAGAATATCCTGATCATTGAATTTAAAACTAATTTTGTAAAGCTTTTAATTTTATTTAGCATATTCTCGAGATAAAATGATTTTATCAGGCAAAAGATTATATGCCATAATAAGGTTTAAATATAAAGATATAAAGTCTAACACAGGTAGAATGATATTCAATCGAGTTTCCATCCCGATTGATTATTTTTTAAAAAATTTGCAACTATAAGTTCAATAGTAATAGTATGGGTTGTAATTAGAATTGGGTACCAATAAGTGTAATGTCTGATTAATTACTAATATTCAATTATAACTAACCGATCAGTTGCTATATTTATATTCGAAATCTTAACTACTGATTTGTTTCTTTTGGATTATTTTTTAATATAGTTTGGTACTTTTATTGGTATTTATAGATGCGGTAATATAGTTTGGTACTTGTTTGCTACTATTTTCATAAAAAATAGTACCTAGGCTGTACGACGTGAACGTCAGTACCTCACAGCCCTAAAAAATATTTGGACAATATATTTAACATCCTGTATCTAAGGACAAGATAGGAAAGAATTTAATGTACCGAACCCGATTGGAAGCTAACCGTGCATCTTATAAGTGAAATTGTCTATTAATGGGTATAACTGCCATATATGTTTCTGGCTTTCGTTTACCTATTATAAATTTGCTTAGTACAAATCGACTATAAATGTTATAAATAGGAATAATACTGTCCCTAACTGCTTCATAACATTCATATTTTCAAAGTTCAACATTACAAGATCTATCATCATTGTTATCAGTCTGACAATAAAATCTTGTCTGTTGTTTAGATGCCGGCAGATACTACCTGACAAAAGCCAATTTATGCGTCGTTGTAGTATGCTCAAAGTAAAATTGCACTTCACCGGAAAATATATCCATCGTTTCATTATATTGTGTGAACTTTGCCAATATATGCGAATTTACTGAGTATCGGGGTGCCATTGCTGCTCCAAATATTTCTATTTCAATCTGAATATGGCCATATTGGTTCACTTTTAGCAGAACAACAATATAATCTTCTGATATCAGTCTACTGGAAGCTGCATCGGTAATTGTTACAAAATCCCAATCGTAAGCAGTGTTATAATACTGAACTAATAGCTCATATATATATATTGGTAAAGATACGCCACATTTTCTTTGAGTAAGCATTTCTCCAGGAAAAAGCTCGTTACCAGTAATTGTATCATCGAGATTATGATGGAAAATTTGCGCAAATCGGTGTAATTCAGCAAAATCAAACCCGTCATATGCTATCAAACTCCCAGTTGTTTGACGTGATTTCACAAGTTCAAGTGCTCTATTTAGCTTTGGACAATTCAATTGACTGAAAATTAAATTGTCTAATCTCTAGTTTTGTATAATAATGTATAAAAGTTCTGATTCAATATTCCGTTTACTATTTAAAAAGGACCCTATATAAGATGATAAGTTAATTTTTTGATATCATTTGATTTTTTTTGATAACAATCAGTAAAATTATTTACCTAATATGATTTTTATTCTTTCAAACGAATAGCACCAGAAAGAATATAATGGGCTATAATCATGACAACATTCGGCAATATGAAAAGATAAATGAATATTTGGAGTTATCATCTCCTGTCCATAATGTTTTTCAACTAAAAGAGCCACTTGAAGTAGTCAGTTGTAAGCTTTGCTTAATACATCATTATTAATAATTTGACAAGTAAGTAAAAAGCAAGCTCTTACAAAATTGGCCAAAATTTCTCTATCAGAAGCACTTAGAAGTTTCCACATCAATGGAATCGCATAAATAAGAATAGAGAACTTCCATTGATCAGCGGTATAACCAGAAAATCTCTCACCGGTAGCAATCTTGTTAGGGATTCTTCTCAAATAAGCTGGCACTTTAATAGCTTTTGCTCTTTTTTCCATTAGTTCAAGGTCTGATTTGGTGAGCTTACCGCTATCAACCTACAACCTTTTAATTATCCATTGTGCAATTCCAAGGAAAAGACAATGCATTGGATCAACAACAAGGTGCCTTATTGGATTAAAATAAGGCAACCTTAGCATTTCTGACCAGCGTATATGAGTATCAGAAACATGTTTGTTTCTTTCATTCTTAGATTTGCATTGCCTCTATCTTTCGGCATTTTGTCGATATTCTTCAAGATCACATTCTTGAAACCATTCGGGCATATCATCGAAACCACCAAAATTTGGTTTTATTCCATCAGTGTTTACCCTTTTGTAACATCGATGGCATCCGATCAATGCTGATATATGATCGCATAGTTTTCTTGCGATTGGGATGTCGTTAGAACAGCATATAACTGCCAACCATATTCTCTTACCGATTGGATGCTCGTTAGTCAAAGGTAAATCAACTCCATCCCAAAATTCCAATAATTCATCCACTATTGGAGAAAGATAGTGATTTATTTTATGAAGTTTAACCTCATTTAGTCCTGGAAGTAGTCCAAGATATAGCATATTCTCCCGTTTGAATCTCATTTCTCGAGAGAGGTTGCAAATTACTCCATAAATTACATCGCTGCTATATGATGAAGACTCAAAAGGTTGAAACCAATCAAGATTAATCATAATTCTTAAATGGGAATCAGCGGTTTCTCATGTAAAAAATTGTTGAGAATCGGTCATATTAGGTTGTGATAGAAAATTTTTCCAAATTTCACCATCGTAAATATCAGACATCAATCCATTATTGGTATCTTGTTCAGTCCATTTTCTTAAAAAAGATTCAAATCCCGGACGTTGGTACATTGCAATTATTTGCGCTTTCAACGATAGTAAAAAAAAGATCATTTTTGGTCTCCAGATATATCCCTTAACAATTGGGATCCATTTCATTAATTGTGTTCTGCAAGGTTGCCTTCGGTTTTGCCTCGAATGGTTTAGAAATTCTACATATGTACATTTATACTCGGTATTTTGTTGTAGAATTTCTGAAACCTTATATAAAGTGTTACAATCCAGACATACTGCATATGCCTTATCTTGTTTACCTAATCCTAACAATTTCCTTGTCATATACAAAGTTGTAGGAAAATCTCTAAATCGTGAATGATTAACGTCTAATAACACCATCCTAAAAAACTTGATAAGGGAATCGATTGCAACATTCGAAAAGCGAAATCTTGCTTGGTACTTTAATATCCATAATAATATCTACAAATCATCAAAGTTAATGTTCCTATCAGGATATCCATCATTTGATTTAACCTCAAATTCATCAAAATCGGGAGCAGTAAATTGCTCAACCGAAATATCTTCCTCATTCAAATTATGATCATCTTCTTCCGTAGAAGATTCTTCATCATTAACCGGTATCTCAAAGCCTTCTTCATCATCTGAAGAAATCAAAACAGTTTCTGACTCATCATGATCAGAAACTGTTCCATCTGCATCGAAAAACTTAGCATATCGTTTTCGTTTTCTTGGTACATCAATTGGCTCCTGATAAACTGAAATCGGTTCATCATCATCATCATTAGAAGAATTACATGATGAATTATAATCTTGTTCAGCTGGATTAACTTTTTCTTTTCCTTTTGAGATTGATGTTGATCCTATATCAATCGGGTTATTCTTGGTACTTGTTGATCGAAAAGAATTACGATTTCTATAAGCAATATTACGAAAATGCTCCATTTCTTGCTGATGGTTCTCAAATGTTCTAGGATCTACAAATTTACTACCATGGCAATGTAGTGTACATTTACATTCGATCAATTTTCTAGTTCTAGTACTAGAGTTAGCAATTTTCGAATGATCTTTGTTAATACGATCTTTTTTTGGTCTTGTCATTTTTAACAAATGTGAAATTCAGTAAGAAATCAATAAAGTCTGATTTTACGCGTTTGACGCGTATAGCATGTATATATATATATTTAGCATAAATATTGATTGTAATTGATTAGTAACAAATTAGTATAAAACGGAGAATAAAACTTTATAAATTTCAAAACTATTTCAATAGACAGACAATTAGTAAACATAAAGCTTAAGCAATGGTTATATAAATGCTAAAATAAGCTCTACTTACTTCTTTCACAAGAAAGTTTTTCTTTAACGTCTTTTATTCCTGAAAGGTCACTTTCGCAGAAAAAATTTTCCGAAAGGTTACTTCTGTAGGGAAGCTTTTACTTTGATGACTAATACTAACTTTACACCCAAAAAGTTACTTTCGCAAGGAAAAGTTTACTATTCCTATTTTTTAATTCTGAAAGGCAACTTTCACAAAGTAAAGTATCCCTTTGATGACTAATTCTATTTATTACTTTTTTGCGAAAAGTTTCTTTCAATGACTAATATTTTAATATTTCAAAAGTATACCTCTAGTATCTGTTTGGAAACGTATAAAAGGACTGTATTTTTCTTTTCTGTTTGTTAAAAATTTTACAGAAGAAAAAAACATGACTAAAAAATATAATAAACGTCCTTCTTCAAAAGAGTCATCGGATGATGACAAACAAAGAAAATATTCACCAATATGAAAGCTCAAGACTAAAAAGAAACAAAAGAGTAGTGAAACACAACCATAAGTTATTTAGGTTTAAATCGATTATTTCTTTTCTGATTTCTTGATTTATCATTTATTTCAATGATAGTTACGTATCTGAAGATAAGCATCAACCAAATCAAACGAGAGTCCCCGTTTTGGTCGATGTTGTTCAAGAAAACAAAGAAAAAGATAAAAGGATTGGTATGTTTGTTTATATATATATGCATATTTATTTAGTTAACTAAAGCCTACCGGTTGTATTCAAACTAATTCTTTACAATTATAATAGATGTATTACAGGCTCAAGTAGATGAGCTAAAGGATCTTTTAAAAACAATTACAAGAGGAAAACAAAAAGCAATAGACCCAAAGAATAATATTATTGAATTTTCTGATAATGAGTATGCTTCTTAACTAAATACGATCTGATACGAATAACCTGGTACTTCAAAAGACGCAACGAAGAATAGAATCACGATAAAACCAGTTTCTACCTCTAAGTACGATGATAATAGAGGTAGAAGCTGGAAAAGAATTTTCACTCCTCGGCTCTGATCGAAAAGATCACGATCACAAAAAAGACTTCCGAACCCTAAAAAAATCTTTCCAATCGGGACAGGAACAAGAACAATCAGAACGTTTCCTTCTCTTCATCCTCGTCTTCACTTTCTGTTCCTTCACCTCACATTCACCTTCTCCTTACCTTTTTTACGATGACATGGATAAGGAATTGAAAAATGCCTTGAGGGAAACTTAAATTAATTCATTGTTTTTATTTATTATTTTCTATTCTTTACTTAACTGAATATATATTTTTCTATAATCAGTCTGAAATGTTTGGAATTATGGACAGGCTTCCAGAAAGCCAAAAGCTGGATATTTCTGTAATTTTCGAAGACCAACGAAAGTTGATTGTCCAAAAAATCGTACCAATCGTAAAAAATCTATTAACAAGCAAACGTTCCTGGTAGTGGATGGTATCATCAAGCATATCATCCATAAATGACATCATCATCAGCGTGAGGTATTCCTTAATAAACAAAGAGACAATGAATGGAACGATGCTAAAAAAGACGAAAGCATGCAAATTCTCACCGTAACGAAGTAATCAAAGATAGATTGTTTGTTTTTGAACTTTTTTTTAATTTATTTACTAGTTTTTTATTTTTTAAAAATAAAAACGTGAACGAAGAGCGAGAACAATCGATAAATTAACAAGATTGGATGATCGATTGGTTGGAAGATTTTATAACGACGAACTCCAACCAATCTGGACTGATAACTGATACCACAGTTCAGAAGTGTCCGAGAGCGATGATGACAATCCAAATAAATGAAAAATTGTCATTCGGGATCTCAAGTAGAGATCTTCAACAGTAAGTAATATTAAATTTATTTTGTTTCCATTAGGCATAATATTAATTAAGTCTCTTTAAAATAGTTACGTGAATTTTTACGAGATTACGTGAATGCTAACTTCAACCAGGCGTCAAAAGTACGCAGAACTCAAAAATGTGAATTTAATTATGAAGAATTTGCGCCTGATGAAGAAAAAGCTCCGGTAAATGCTTCTGGATAGACAAGATCTGAATACAATGGATCGTTAAGATCATACATAGAGAAACAAATTGGTACTTTCTCTTCTCCTCCTCCTCCTTTTGAAGATTTGAATAATGTAAATAATAGAGATGAGGAGAGAGATAATAGAAGCAGAAAGAGTAGAAGTGTGATTTCTGAGGAGTATGATAGCAATAGTGAAGAAACCGACGATAAATAATACAATATTTTATTTTTTTTAAAAAAATTGCTTTTATTGTAACAAATATTTTTGTAATATAATAAATAAATAAATACATTTGCGTACATATATTTTATATCAATTGGGATATGACAATTAAATAAATTTATACCAATAAGGTATAATGAAATATCAAAAGTTATCGATTGGGATATTGAAAATTAGTTAAATTTATACCAATAGGATATACCTATTGGTATTAAATTAGTAACTGATGGGTATCCAATTTAAGTATTCTGATTAGAACCCTAGTGTACTCTTTTTGCGCCAAATTTTGATAGCAATCGGGTTCCTTGATAAATAAAAATAGGGAACCAATAGGGTATCATCTAGCAACCCGAATGGTACCCTATTGATCCCCTATTTGACATCGTTCGACCAGTGTAAACTTGTTATAGAATGTTTATTTTTAAGCTTTTTTATTGATAGAAAGACATAAACTTTAGGATATTTTCAATTGCAGTTCCTTCTTTTGAGATTATACTAGATAAGATCCCTCTTTACCATATACTAGCATTTAAAAGATTGCAAATCTTTATACCTCTCATAAAATAATATGCATCAAATAATGGCAAAAAGACTATAGTTACCAGCTCTCTATATTTATTGATTATATTACGCTTTGATCATTAATTGCTAATAGCTAAGAGCATCAATAATGTAGTATTTAGTTACTTTACATATCTGCTTAGCTATTATAGTATTTGTTTCTTTAATACCTTTTCATAATATTTGTTCATGTGGTGAATAGGTAAATTTACTTTATTGTCAAGATTATACTTCTTTAAGTAATATGCAAGACTACTTTTTTCAGCTTTAGGGTAGAATTTCTTAAAATAGGATCAGGTATTAATAGTCACATATCTGAAAAATTTTAAGATGTCTTAAATAGATTCCTATCATTTACTTTTATCATATTATACTGATATTGCTATTTTGTAATTTTTTCAGATTTGATAGTTTGAATAATATATGATTGAGCATCTATTTGAGTACCCTTAATTTTTTAGCTTTCTCTATAATAAATAGCCAATTATATTGCGAATTATTAAAGTCTATTTATATATTCAAAGCTAAAAATTTTTAATATAGTACAAATACCTTTAATCAATTAACTTAAGACCTATATATAATTGTAATCTATCACAGATCTGAGGTTGTTTTAATATCAACAAGATAAATTTGTTTTAATAGTTTAGAATTATCTTTCCAATGAATTATCATGCAAATCATAAATATAATATTTTCTTTATACTTTGCATTAGGGATCCTACTTATTCTTTATGAACTATATTCCACATAAGGACCAGAGTTCAAACTCTCATAAGTGCTAAAGAGATTAGTAGATTATTGTATTCTTCATCACTTATTGGATTGTAATTACCCACAGATACTTGAAAGAGATAAGCATTTACTGATAATACATATGAATAGTTGCTTAATACTGCTCAGCTTGAAAAAGGTAATCTTACTTTACAGATCACTTTTTAATGATAATATTTGGAAGTTAGATCATCAGAAGTAATATGAATACTAGCTTTGCAAACTGCTTTAAATGCATTATAGCGATCAAAGTAGTTTCATGTTCTTATAAAGATATATGCTTTTTTTTCTGTATGATACCTTGAAGTGAGAAAGCACAAATATCTTTAAACTTAAACTTTAATGTGTTTTTGAGTATAATAAATAAAATACATGTTAATTTAATTTTAAATGAAGATAGAGAATAATTATTTAGCACTTTAACATTAAAGAAGGGTTTAATGTTTATAATATTCACAATCACCTTCTGCCTATTAATCAAAATACCAGTGATATGTAAAATATAGGTAGACATTTCATTTATATATTCAACTTTATCATTCATATCTATAGGTATAAAATATATAAGTTGCTTACTGAATAGGCTTTTTTGAAGTATAGCGATCATCTCATTATTGAATTCTGTTATAATATTATTACATGATAAAATACTAGCTAAAGAATCAGTACTATCATAGCAAAAGAGCCAGTTTTACAAAAGTAATTAGGGTATACATATCATCAGTAAGTAAAACTTTATATACTCTAATATATTTCTGAAATATTTAATTATTTTTTTCAATGAATACAATAAAGAAGTGATAGCAAATTTAGTTAATAAATTGTAAATGAAAGAGAAGTAAATATGTATCTAAAAGTGAAACCTTCTCAGAATCTTTATATAAAATAATAAAAGAAGGCTTTATTTTAATAGTATGTATCTAAGTATATATAATATATATGTATCTAGAGTATCTTTTTTTAGAATTTTTATATAAAATAATGAAAAAAAGATATCCTATCACTAGTATATATCTGGGTATATCATCTAAGGTATCCTTTTTCAGAATCTTTATATAAAATAATAGAAGAAAGATATCTTATCACTAGTATATATCTGAGTAACTGTGTAATCTATTATATAATATTAGCAGAAACCTTCACTCTGTTTCTATCTTAAAATATGTATTCAGATATAGCATAAAGTTTTTTTTAGAATCTTTATATAAAATAATAGAAAAAGACTTTATCTTTCTAAATATATACTTAAGTATAGTATAAATGAGCTGGCTACAATAATATATATTGCACCTTTAACCTTAGATGTAAAATTGGCATTGTCACCGTGGAATTCTTCAACTCAGGGTGATCACGTTATCAAGTCTCTACTCAAAATTTCTAACTGCGGTTTAC